TTGAATGACTTCATCATTATTTGTTTGGGTGCGGTGTTAAAAATTAAACGCCTTTATTTTCTCTACTTTTGTTAATTTTTCATATTTTTATTTACTGGTTTGTACTCTTTCTAGTAGGTAGCAGTAGCAAGATTACGATCCAAGATCCCGAAAAGCGTTTCAATAGAAATAGCGCATAATGGAATAAAATATAATTTTAGTTATACTTACTTTTCATAATTTAAGTAAAAAAGAATAGGTATTCGACGCCCTTAAATGTTTACTGAATGTTTTCATTTGGTTTATTTTTTAATATTCCTTTATTTGTATTAATTAATGCGCTATGGAAATTTACACAATAGGCTCTTTCTAACATAAAGGACGAAAAAGTGCATACGCTATCTCCATGTAAACAAACACCTTTTTCTTGTAAAAAAACATTTACGTACTTTTAAAAGTTTTAAATTCAAATACAAATAAACTATTATAAGATCAGTAAGTTATATAAAATATATTCCATACAATTCCTCCAAGCTTTCATTTATAAACTAAAAAAATATCGAATGAAATAAACGCTGTTTCCGTTTGTTTGGCGTTAATTACCACGCCTACAAGTCGATAACTCACTATTCCAAATATGACCGCCAAGCAGATGTTTCATCCAATGAGAGCAGACCTTAGAGAAATGGTCTGTAGGCTTTGTGAATATGCGCGTTGTACGGACTGTATTGCATCGTCTGAGAAACATACAACGTATTAACAATCATACCAACCATGTAATATTGTTTTTTTTTTTTTTTTTTTTTTTTTTTTTTTTTTGTAATTTGCTCCAGGGAGAAAAAATCGCTAATTTTTTAAATAATATCAAACATATAGTATCTTTTTTTGCTCTTTACCTTTTGTTTAATAAATAAGCTTTACAAATAAGTCAAATTTGTTTTGCTTCTAACTCTTCCTTTGCCTGATTTTGCATTATCCTTAATTTATGGACATGAGTGTATAATTTAAAGGGCAAGTCGTGTAGTGCGGTCCTAAAAGACATGTGAAATACGTATACATATAATTGCAGGTATTAATCTTAAATCGCTAAATTTAAAATACCGCTAAGAAATTCAACTGGAATTTTTTATTCGAATTTATATAAAAATTTATCTGTTTTCACGAATTCAATAACTAAATAACAAAAAGCAAGAACATTTTCTGCGCAATTCCAGTATACAAAGAAATTTGTCTTGATTCTTCAGGTATGTTATTGTGAACATAAGTGCAATTAACTATTCTTAATCAGATATGCGGATATCAGGTATCATGTATGCAGATATCATTAATCCCAAATGCAAAGTAAAAGTCAAATTCTAAATTGTAGAAAATGATACAAAATATAAGACTTAAAAATTTAAATTTTGAAATTTCTGTTTTAATGGAATTTCCATTTAGAAACAAAAAGTATAAAAGAAAATCCTTCGAGAAGGTTCATAAATATTTACGAGCTTTTATCAGATATAAAAGAAAATTTGTTTTATGATCTCAAACACCCTTAGATCTCCGGTTCAATAGAAAATGCCATTTTAAATCTCATCGAACATCTGCATGTTTAACTTCCGAACAATTAATCCAGTTCTATCATAACAGAATTTCCTTCCAAGAAGCCTCGATTTTTGGTTCAAATGCGAAAGAGAACTCTTATTCGCAAAACAAAAAACATGAAAAACTAAATAAACTTGTCTAATACTAACTAACAGCTCTGAAAAATAACTCCATCACGCACATTACGTGATCTTTGCATCTACAAAAAAAATTACTTGATGTATTTTTAAATATTAACAGAAGGCTGAAGCAAAGAAACTACAGAATTCGAAATATGGGTGACCAATATTAGTAGAAATCATTTCACGAATCCAGATAAATGTTTTTCCAAAAATAATTTTTTTTCCTTGATGGGGAAAGGTATTTTAACTGGATAATTATTATGCACAGCAGTCGTACTTGAACTTCCGGAATTCGTTGATCCCTTTCAGGAGATCTACATTTTGTTAGATAACTATTCACTTTATGTCTTTGTTTAGCACAAAGTAAGCACAAAGTAATTCTCGCGTATGCAAGCTATTTATATTTCATGATACAAGTTATTAGAATCTGAAGCTCAATTCATAAAATTAGTATACATTAACTTTTAGTAACAAGAAATGTAATTTTTTAATTATAAACAAATATAAATGAACAATTAGAAAATATAACGTGTTTACAAAGTTGTTAGGACTGAATTCGTAATATATCACATATGGAGAAAACAAATTTTATCAGTAAGTAATCAGTGGCAACCTTCTCTCTGTGGTCTTCTAATTTCTTCTTCGTCTCTTATTATGTAAAACGGGCTTCTTAATGCCTTTGTACGAGGTGACAGATAAGGGCAAAGCCATCAGCACCTATCAGTGTTAACGGCAAAACTCAGTCCTCCTGACCAGCGAAGCCACTCTTATGACCCTCACAAGGTCTTTTGCACAAAGTAACTGAAAACGTTCATGCCCTTTTGATGTTCTGTTTGAAAAATCAGTCACAGAGAAGAAGCGAAGTGACTCATGTGCTCGAAATACGATGAAACGTTAGTGTAATCATGAAACCTTACTAATACAGGCACGCTGCACAAACGCAGTAGTCAAAGCTTCCCCGTTGTCGAAGAAGAGAAACTTGGTTATCAAAGTGGCTCCTTTGCTGTTGATCGCTGTAATCTTTGTATAAAACTTTTTTTTTATTTTTTATATATTCATTCATTTATTTATTATTTATATTTAATCAGCAACTTTGTTTTTATTATATTAAGTAACCAACGTATAACTATATATAGCATATGAATGCAAGTTGTCTTTGTTTATGAAATACTACTACTCTATGTACTCGCTGATTTTGTTAAAAGTATCGTTCTGCCAGCCCTACCCTGGTAACGGCGGCTGCTGGATTGTACTTGATCTCCCGCCGAAAAGGCACTATTCTGTTTGGTACAACCTTAGGTATATACCAAAAGTATACCTTAGGTATACACGCACAAACCACCTTAGGTATACACACACAAACCACCTTAGGTATACATACACAAAATAATAATTATTGTATCTTTTTTATTAATAATAAAAATAATTTTTGATAAACTTTTTAAACTAAACATGATTGATTATGATATTTTGCATAGTGAAAGTTATATAGCTTACAAGTTATATATCTGATAAGCTCAGATGTATTTAGCATTTTCTCTTTACCTAAATAAAGCACAATAAATATTTTACTAATTCAAATTTTTTATTCTATGGAGACTATACATAAAGTTAATTTTCCTGTTTCAGAACTATACCAACAAACAGTCTTGAAACAGTTTTCATAAAATTCTTTACCTTGTTTTAAAACACTTTGTATTCGGAACTGTACGTGTAGATTAATTATTTAAAGCAATTAAGCCTATGGCCATTGTTTTAACATCCTCCATTCGTGTTTATAATCAAAACATTGTCACAAACTAAAAATTCAAAAATAGACCTCATTTCTACTATTTAAATAGATTGGTTTCATTATTTGAATAGACTGGTCACTTTTGTTCAATATAAACAAAGAATTTTAGTTATTAATATTCAGATTTCTGAGTTCATATGCTCCTTTACTGCAGCAGTAATTGTACATAATGGTGTATTATCTGATTCTCGTGACTCTGTATCTCTTTTCACAACATACACTCCAGGGTTCATGGAGGAACGAAGATTATTTCTGAACAACAGCAATGGGAATTGACGTTACAAACTTAAGATCATTACTAAACATGTTGCGTTGTAAATATTCTTATTCTTCATAAATATCTTGAGCTTAGTTCAATTTTATTGCACTATAAACAAAGGGATTAATTACGCAATACTAAATGAAATTTTCGAAAGTTGTTCTATAACTGATGGCTAAGATAAAAGTTTCACTGATAATTTCTGTTTAAAAGCCTTGATTCAACATTTTGTAGAGTTCCTCACTGGGTAATTCTAAGTTACTGTTGAAAGTGAAGAATCTTAAGAACAAGTAAGCGAATAATCGCTTGAGTTCGTGTGACAGGAAACAACCAGATGGAAAGGTAAAATAACCCTTTGTTATTCAAAATAAGATTTAACAAAACTGCGTCTTGGAGAGTCCAATAAAGCTGACACTCTGGCTTGAACTTAAGAAACTGAGAATTAAACTAATTTTAACTAAAGAGATATAGCCGAAGCTATCAGAATTCTAACCGAGTTGGCCCCTTAACGTTAATAGACTGCGAAGCTATCGAGGGCCTAAAGTACGGCCCAGTGTGATAATAGCTTATGAGACAATAGCCTAAAAAGACGGACGCGTGCAGCCAGAATACCTGGAATCTTTCTCACTAAGACCACGGTTAAATACCGTACTTCCTCATTATGTATTCAGACGTGATTTTAAAACTACATTCTGACCGGAAGTGGGAAGTTGAAGTTAAGAATCGATAGAAAAGGAAATTTAACTCAAAATTTAGCTGTTAATAAAATTAACATAATCCTTACAATTTTATTTCTTCATTTAAAGACTTATACACAGCTTATTGAATATTTGACGGTATTGCAAAACACTGCTGCTTTTATTGACTTACTGTTACCCTGTTATTCAGTGTTTCTTTTGCTTTTCTTGTGAACTAAATTTTATTGATTAAAATTTTTAATTTCGACAATACATAAATAGCTTTAAAAGCTGCATTTTACAGCGATGTTAATTGATAGATTTTCATATTTTTCATTTCTAAATTGAAATTTGCTATTAAAAGTAAGACTTACTTAAGTATTTCAAATGTAGTAAAAGCTTTTTGTTATTGTCAAAACTACTACTGCTTTATTGATTTATTTGAAGCAATTAGCTGAAATATTTTCGAATTGCTTTTTTGCATAAATTTTCACTGTATACCAATGCTTTCAAATAATGTATCATGATAATACGATCTTGATCCGAAGTATCTAATGTTCGAAGTATTTCTGTTTTTATTACAGAGGCATTTTAAACTCGTCTGTTATGTACTCAATTGGACCATGGCTTGTCTGCCTCTTGATCACCGCGGGATCCCTTCTTCAAGTCTTAGATGGTTCGTTGCACCACTGGAGAGAAGGTGAAGCACCATCATGCGAACAACTAAGAGCATTTTGGGACATTATTAGCCGAACAGTAAGAATGAGTGAAATAACGAACGAAATTCCAGTAATTCCAATGGATTTCTTCTCTTCATTTGATCCTCAACTACAATTAACAAGCCAAAGGAGAAAACCAATGAAGGTGAGTGCACAGGGTTTTGTATAAATTCGCTTATATATTTTTGAACAGCAATATTTATAATCTCTTCATACAAAATAAATTTGATTAAAAACTTCCCAATTAATTATTTCTGAAATTATAAAATTCATCGTAGGATTTCATTACTTTTATTGAGATCCATAATTCTTAGCACATTTTCTACAGAATAAATGAGCTTCTGAACTTCTCCCTGTATTATATGCAATTTTAAGCTACTTACGAGTCGCAAGTTTTAATGAAGCGAGAAATATAATCCACAAATATGCGACAGTTGTCGCAAAATTATGTTTATAAGAATTCATACTACAAAAGTAATGGTGTCTACTGAGACACCATGTGCAATGACTGATGCTTTATTTTTCCGCCTGATGCTGAGTTTTTTAATATCCTTCTTGGAAAGTGTAGAGTTCTTGATACTAAGCATTTCTTTCCTCTTATTTTATATCTTCATTCCTTGAAATCTCCTGTCATCAAGTGTTCCTTGAGAACATGCGACATTGGACAATAAATGGGTAACATTGTTCTCCAATTTCTTATGAAATGATTGCATTACTTGAATCCGCTACGAAGAATAGTGTGTTGAATGACTGAAGAGTAGAAATTTCATGAGGTGCTTGCATAGTGGGACCTGTGAGCTCTTTCCTATAACCACAAAGCAAACATACTAGCGCACACCTTGTCGTTTCTGCAACAGCATCCTATTCACTTCTAAGAATTTATGAAGTGTATTGTGTCCAGTGATAAGCCATGGGCTCCCTACAGTGTACAATACATTCATGGCTTCCCTACAATATTGTTGGCTAACTTATTTAGATCAGAAAAGACTTCTGTTTGCCTGATTTTTAGAAACGAAAGGAAAAATTCTTGCAATTGTGTGCAGTGTTGATCTAAAAAGTTTATGAACTGCTATCTGATGTCATTCTCTTGACATGCTGATCGAAACTGCATTATTTCTTGATGCTAATATTCACTAATCACTCACCAAACCACTTACACATAAGCATTGGTACCTAGTGAAGAATATTTCAAACAATAATTTCAGATATTATTTGCAATTTAATTCCAATCTAATTCAAAATGATTTTCTTCTCTATATGTCTTTCAACGATCCGACAACACGGTGAGTCGGTGTCCAGGATATCACATTTTACATGATCTATGACATCGAAATTTTGCAGCGTACGTAGAAAAATGCTACAGTTATGATTGAGACTATATTGAAAAAAAGGTTATTCATTCACCGTTTGCACTGTGCTGTGTCAAAATTAACTCTAGCCTTGAAGAAATATAATTCTTAAATTAAAATCCAACTTAAGAATATTTAAAATTTATTTCTGACCAACTTAGTGATTAGATGGTTTTAATTGTTTAAGAAAACACATATTTTATTTTTCAAGAAAGAAATCGTCTTGAACAGATAAAATATGCGCACCCCAGAATATGTGCACTTTCTCGATTTACAGAGGAAAATTTGTTCTGAAGAATATTAAAACGAAAATCAGTTTCTGATTGAAATTAAAAGCGATGCTTGTCAGTTTGTGGTAAATTAAAACGGAAGTATGTTTTATTTGAAACAAATAACATATTCAAAATATTCGTTTAACAGGTATCGTAAACAACTAATAACTTCATATAAAGCTGCTTCTTTCCACTGCTTTGAGAAGATACATTGAAAAGCAGTAGTGCAAGCAATCGTAAAATTCTGAAAACAATTCAAATTGCAACAATGATGGAAAGCAGGAAATACAAATATTCCAACGACTCTTGCCTATACCGATCATTCTCATAAATGTACAAAATAATGGAAAATGCATACAAAACGTATTTGTTTAATAAACACCGATACAATTAAATTTGGTTGTACTATAAAGCATCTCCTCCCACCTTTCATGCCTTCGTGGTGTGACGATAGCACACTCGGCATGTATTCGAGAGGTCCAGTTTCGAGTTCTGAAGAGGTCACTGCTTATTTTTCACTTCTCCAGCATCAGTAAACCCTAATGTCTCTCCAATACGTAAACTTAGTTATGAGTAGTATGTGTTTAATGAGTAATGAGACACACGAACAAAGAAATGTAATGAATGTAGAAATGTGTTAGTTTCTTAATAGTTAACAGCTTAACCTTAATTAAATGACGTTGTAGCATCAAATAAGAAACACTGATACATTTTAATTGTACCTGATTTTAGCGGATAAGCCGTCAATGTAATTTAAAAAATATGACTTAATCTTGTGAAAGGTTTTAATTTTGATGTAAGAAAAAAATACAAAACGTATAAAAGCCTCTTGCTCACATTATTAACGCAATTTTCTCTACTGTTACGTCTTGTCTATCTCTTAGGACCGAAGATTTTCTACAATGTGTTAATTGACGCCTGCATAATGGAGTGTAAACCAATCCACGTTTAGGCAGAGCAGTGAATATTTACTCGGTGATTTATGGATCTATTTCCCTCGAGTGTTTTCCACTGTTTCATTCTCATCTATCTTTATTTGCAAGAGATTAGCCTAGACAAAAGAGAATTAAGAAGGAATTTCTTATTTTAAATTGCATTTTTATACACAATAAAAACTTTGCAAATGCTGCTGTTTTATTTCTTTTACGCTTTATAAGAAGCTCTTATCAACACAGAAAAATTTAAATGTGTATGTTTAATTATTATTTGTATTTAGATTAAAATAAGGAAATGAGTAAAGCTTTTGTAAGCATATGTTTTTCTTCAGCATACAAGTTTTGCTCTCTAAAATATAGAAATGCTACAATTATTGCCATAACAAGCAAAGAAAAGAGAAACTGAAACAGGAACACATCAACTATAGCGTTTATTTTATCAAATTTTAATTAATAAAGAGACACACAAAGTGAAATTTTCAAACCATTGGAAGAAATTTGTTTTAAATGAAATGGATCGGAATTTTTTATTTATAAATTAATAGTGCCAAATTAAATTAATATTTTTAGTGCTTTTCACAATTTAATAACGTATACAAAGTTATAATTGTTTAAAATTTGTAAACAGCAGTTATATTTATCGTATGAAAGTGTTTATTCATTATATTAGAAAAAATAAACTTCTAACACACATAGATGAGTAATAGATAGTGGGATAAAGAAAGCAAATTTTACTTTAAAAAGAAAAACACCCTTAAAGGTTTCTTTAATACGATGTAGCTAGGCTTAGCATACAGAACGATAGCTGTGGATTAAGTTTCAAGTAGTAAGTACAGTTTTTATTTATTGTTTCGAAATGGCTTATTCAGCGAAAGTTTGTAAGGTTGATTTAATTGCATTAACAGATAAGATGGGTTTAATTAACCAGCCAAATCTGTCCAGTTATCTGTCCAGTCTGCTGAAAAGAAAAGTAATAATTTCTTGCAAATTTATTGAATGTAAATAAGCGTGCATTGAACGTTTATCTATAAACGAAAGAAGAAAATTAAATTAGAAGAAGCAGAACAGTAGTTTGAATCGTGAAAGGTGAAGCAAAATGCCATTTCTTTTGAAACTGTCAGAAATAATGTAGTAAGGATTTCCTAAGCTCAGAGTTATGATTTACAAAGGTAATGATACGGTATGATGAGAACAGTATAATCAGTATTTATTCAAAGGTATTTAGGAAGCGTACCAATATAATGGACATACTAAAAGAAGATTGGGTCTCATATATCTAAGGGCTACTCTCTTCAGGTATTGGAAATTTATTATCATATGCGACTGAGCAGATGCAAACAATTATGACTACGTTAAAACAATACTATTATTGAACTCTTCAAACTGAGTCTAGAGCAGTTCAAACAAAATTTTAGTTTGCGTCGCATTTTATTCGAGATTTCGCCTCTGAGGTGAATAATTTGATCGAGGAGTGGATATAAGGTTTAGAAATATAAACCCAATGACCATCGATATAAAAGAACTTTTAGTTCGCAATCAATTAAAATTAAAATGACAGAATCAGATACGTGAACATTTCGCAGACAGTCTACCCAATGTTAAAAAGATAAAAGAATTTGTAAACATACTAAATATGAAGTATAGCGCGTTCCAACTTATGAAAAGAAGCAAATAAAAAAAGGTTAAAAACTTTAGATGATAAAGTTAATCGCTTCCAAAGCTTCAACTAGAAATAGAGCTCGATTAGGTTGTTCTACTTAATCAATAAAGAATCAAAATTTTTCATTTGGCCGTAAATATTCTGATTTTAAAAGTAAAATAGATGGAATAAGATGTTATAAATGCGAATGTCTCGACCACAAGGCAACTGCATGCTGTTTGAAAGAAAAAAAGTGGAATGTTTATTCGCAGTTTCCCAACGTATCCACTGAAAACTCTTTAAGAATACTAAAATATTAAGAAATGAACAAATGCATCATTAGACACAGGAAATGATGTCACTATGTTAAGTTGTAAATGTTATCAGGTTCAATGTTCCGTCTTACTTTCTTCGGGACATGCAAGGACCTGACTCGGAACAGAGAGCTTACTAAAGCTATGTTCAATCACTGTGGGACGTAGACAGGATACACAAGAAGGGTATACAAAACCCTTTATTTTTCTCTATTTACAATAACTTCCGTACTTCGGAATACACAGACCCACTACTTGTGGTCTAAACGTAAAAATATAAAAATAAAACTAAACTCTAATTTAACTTTAAAATAATAAACGTGGAAGATTGGCCTTATATTAACAGGAAGCCGTATGTAGTACAGAGAACTGTGAACACTACAATACGTTTAAAAATTATCAAGAGGATTAAAACCTCTGGCCTGGAAGGCAACCAGCAACTGAGTAAACTTCTAAGGTAAGCGGCCTGCTTCGACTAACTGCTTCCTCTCTCTCGCTTGGCAAAAAGCCACAACTTAAGTACTTGGCGTTCGCCAGACAAACTTTGCATAAATACATTAACGCTTATAATTCTGGCCGGAAGTAGAAAATAAGAAGTGATAGTAAAGATTTAAAATAAAATAAACGTTAGTAAAA